AATGAAATAGGCCAGCCTGGCAACACAGTGAGACCTCATCTCTGAAAAAAAAAAAACACAAAAAAATTAGCTGGGCATGGTGGTGTGTCTATAGTTACTCAGGAGGCTGAGGCAGAAGGATGGCCAGAGTCTAGGAGGTCAAGACTATGGTGAGACATGATTGTGCCACTGTACTCCAGCCTGGGTAACAAAGTGAGACTCTGATTCAGAAGAAGGAAGGAAGGAAGGAAGGAAGGAAGGAAGGAAGGAAGGAAGGAAGGAAGGAAGGAAGTCTACTTTTGCCTTGTTTTGATTAAAAAAGAAATAATTTTTTAAAATTCTTCACATGAAGAAAGTTGTTCCCCTAGGTGGATGACTTTCTTTGTACAAACTATGTGTTCTGAAGGCCATTCGATGAGTTGATAAGGTAAATGAATCTAAACAAAGACTTTTAAGTAACTTTTTAAATAAGGTGAAACAAGACCCCAATAAGCCTAAATTTGCTTATGTCCTGCTCTGTTTCCCAAGGGGTAAACTCTATTTTTGTGACTTCTTTTCCAAATACAGAGATAATTTTTCAATTGTCAGTTTAAGATTATCTTTAACTATCTTCAATATCTGTATAAACTCGAAATAATATCTTGGAGTCATAATTTCAGAAATAATTCATTTGATTTTTCTCTTATAGAAATTTATCATGTGGTATCCAGCACCACAGCCTGGTTCATCTGCACAAGCACTCTGGTGTTGAATCTTTACAAGATGGTGAATATGTTCTCTTTCCAGAAATCAAAGCTGTAAGTTCTGGAGATGGCATTGGAGGTGGCCTTGGCAAAGCTGCTAAGGTAGAGTACAGCCTTGGGCATATAAACCATGCTTTATTATTCATTCATGTGTGCTTGCATGTGTACTTATCCACATATTCAGAAATAATGTTTTCTGAGTAAGGGAAATACAGTTCAAGTTGCTTACCTCCCAGCAGAAGATGGTTTTTAAAATAAGGAAGTGTATCAGGCATATTTCTGTCACTTCCACAAGAATGTTCCTGGAACTGGATTGTGTCACTGATATGGAAGACTATCAGTGAATTTAACACTAAAATGGACAGCTAGGATCAAGAAAAATCATCAGTGGCATCCATAGCCAAGTGAGACAGGAGCATGCTTTGAGCTAAGGATGTCCAGGCAAGGGTATAGGATTAAGATAAGCAGGAATAGCCAGAAGAGATAAGGGGAATGGAGCCAGGGACAACTTATAGTTGAGGTGGATCCAGGAAATTAAGTTCAAGAACAGGGGTGTTGTGATATATCACATGTGTACACTCCTGAGAATGTGGATCCTAAGAAGTTTTGTGGAATTGGACACCATTTCCCTTCAATTTACTCTACCTATTTCATTTTAGGATTTCTCTGGGTTTTCTTAGAAAACATAGATGTATTCTGTTCTGGAGCATTAATAAGGTGAGGGGTATCTTAGGTATGTCCTGAGCACTAGGTTGTGTCCACTTGCCCAAGAAGCCCTGATCTCAGAAGGAAATCTTTCAGCATTTCACTATTACATATGAAGTTTGCTATAGTATTCTATAAAAACTCTTTATCTAGTAAAGAAAGATCTCTCTTATTCTTAGTTTGCTAGAAGTTTTATCATGAATGGGTGTTGAATTTTATCAAGTGTTTTTTCTGCATTTATCAAAATGACCACATTACTTTTCTGGTTATTTTGTCCTGTAACGATGACATACTTTGATTAAATCACTTAAATTCAATAAATGTCAGCATTTCTGCTCAAAAAGAGCTGTGCAGAAAATTTAAATATGAATAAAACCATAAGCCTGGCTAATAAGAAGCTTACGGTACAGTAGAGATAATGTATTAAAAGCAATAATTCAAGATAGACTTTAAGTACACAACAGAAGTATAAACTAGACCTTGTGAAGATTCAGGACAGGCCATAATGAGCTGAGGAAAAAGAAAAGTCTTGATGAAGGTAGTGTTGGACATGAACTTGAAGAATATTTAAGATTTTAAAATTACCAACATCATTCTTCTCAGACCTGGAAATGACACCACAGAAATTCATATGGAGAAATAAACGACCACGAATAGCCAAAACAATCCTTAGCAAAAGAAACAAAGCAGGCAGTATCATACTTTCAGACTTCAAAACTTACAATAAGGCTACAATAATCAAAACAGCCTGGTACCGGTACAAGAACAGGCATACAGACCAATAGAACAGGATAGAGATTCCAGAAACAAAGCCTCAATTTCTCAACAAACTCATCTTTGACAAAGCCTTCAACAACCACTGGGGAGAGGAGAACCTATTTAGTAAGAGGTGCTGGGAAAACTGACTGATCACATGCAGAAGATTAGAACAGGACGTCTACCTATCACCATAACACAAAAATTAACTCTGAATGGATCAAAGATCTAAAATAAGACCTCAAACTATAAGAATCTTAGAAATTGCAGGAGACACCATTATGGAAATTAGAACTGGCAACCGATTCCTGATCAAAGCTCCAAGCGCCTGTGCCATAAAAGATAAGATAGACAAGTGGGCCCTCATCAAACTGAAAAGCTTCTGCACAGCAAAAGAACCCATCAAGAGAGTGGGGAGACAGCCCACAGAATGGGAAAAATTATTTGCCATCTGTGTATCTGACAAAGGTCTAACATCCAGGATCTACAAGGAACTCAAAGGTGCTGAGATGAAAAAAACAAACAGTCCCATTAAAAAGTGGGCAAAAGACATGAATAGACATTTCTCAAAAGAATGCAGAACAAACCCACATTGAGATACCACCTAACCCCAGTAACAATGGCCATCATTAATAAAACAAACAACAGATGCTGGCGAGGATGCGGAGAAAAAGGAATGCTTTTACATTGCTGGTGGGAATGCAAACTAGTGCAACCTCTTTGGAAGACAGTGTGGTGATTTCTGAAAGAACCAGAAATGGACTTTCCATATGACCCAGCAATACCCCTATTGGGAATATACTCAGAGGAACTCAAGTCATTCTATCAAAAAGATATCTGCACATGCATGTTTGTTGCAGCTCTATTCACAAGAGCAAAAACATGTAACCCACCATGTTGCCCACTGAAGCTGGGCTGAATAAAAAAAAGTGGTACATGTACACAACAGTCATAAATATTATGCAGTCATAAAGAAGGACAAACATATGGACTTTGCAGCAACTTGGATAGTTTTAGAGTCTATCATACTCAGTGATCTATCACAGAAACAAAGAACAGAGTACCATATGTTCTCACTCATAAGCAGACCTTGAACAATTATCATAATACTATAAGAAAGGTATTGGCAGTAGTGGGAAACTGCCAGGGGAGGGATGGGCACACCTCATCAACAAGGGTACCTGCATAATGAATATTTGTATACCTAACCTTGAATTGTACCCCACAGAGATGAGGGGTACAATCTTTAAAATAAAGAAAAAAAATATTTTTATCTGGGATATGTGGAGTGGCCAGCAGGATGGAGAAAGACATTTTGGTTATTAGAAATAATATAAGGAAAAACACGGAGGCAGGAGGCGCAGAACTTTGGGAACAGTGTTTAGGAAACACTGAATAGCCTATATTTGTAGTTGAAGTAAAATGTCAATGGTGACAAGATTCCCAAGGAGGTAAGGAATGTTGGAATTCTGCCCTTGTCTATACTCATCTTAAAATTAACACACTCTTAGATTCCAGCTCTAAAGCCGTCTCTGGTATGCTGTGTGGCACCAAGAGCCTAAGCAAGGTTAACATGAATGGCCTTGAGGGATCACAATGTCCTATTTTTGCTGCTTTCCTATAAGCCCAAATCCAAGGCCCAGAACAAAAGCCACATTCAACACTGGTGAAAGCAATCAAATCAACCAAAGAAATGTACAAAGAGAGGGAGAACTAGAGAGACTACAAGAGAGAAAAAAAAATCAGAGCTGTCATCTCAAATTGCTATAACAAAACTCAAGAGTGTAAATTAGCAAACATTTATCATAGAGATGACAACTTTATGACTGGAAGACTCAACAGAAATTTAGAAAAAAAGTGTCATGATTTCAAGATTACTTTCCCATGCACTAAATGCTACATACCTGCATATCATTTTCTCTTTCCTTTGATTTAATCCAAGTTTTGCCTTGAGTTTGTGGGTCTATAAGGAGTGGGTATCTGCTGGCCTTTGTCACAATAATGCCATTCTGGATTGAGAGATCATCTCCTGGTAGTCCCTGAAGCCCCCACTCACCAATCTGAACAACACAAAGTGAATAATACGACCATTCACAGGAGAACAGAAAGGCTTTCATTAGTAATAAAAAGTTCCACAGTGTAAAACAATTTAAAATTTGAACATTGTTTTCCTTTAAGATAATTGGCACCTAGAAAAAAGCAAACTTGTAAATATGAACCAAATGACACTCACTTCAAAAAGCATATTTATAATCTCATGAATCCTTTCTCTAATGACCCAAGACTAGTTTATCTTTTTATGTTGTATTTTCACATTTAGGGAAAACATTGTAAATTGATTGCATATTAAACCTGATTTGGGGTTAGTAGAGATGATGAATACAATGAGATGTCAAAGAAGAAGATATGCCTGAAGGATTGAACCTCAATAACTTCCCTGGCTGAGAATGGTGGCTCAAGCTTGTAATTCCAGCATTTTGGGAGACCGAGGTGAGGGAATTGCCTGAGCCCACGGGTTCGAGAACAGCCTGGCAACTTGGTGAGACCTCATTTCTACAATAAATCAAAAAATTAGGCGGGCGTGGTAGTGTATGCCTGGATTTCCGGCTACTTAGAAGGCTGAGGCAGAAAGATCAAGTCAATGCTGGGGTGGCCATGAGCCTGCCACAGCACTCAGACTGGGAGATGGAGTGAGACTCCAACTCAAAAAAAAAAAAATAGCTTCCCCTTCCTGCCCTTTGGTTCTCCCCACGTGGAGTATGGGTGATTGCATAACTGGAGCAAAATTAGATGAGATATTATATTTGCAGGAGCTCATCAATGACACTTTTGTGAATATTTTCTTCTCCAAATTTAGAGAGGATTCCCTGCCTCCCTCTACATGGTCAATAAAATCACTGGAGTTCCAATTAGTCAATCAGCCCCCACCTTCTTTAATTTATCCCAGGACTTCTGGAGGCCATCATTAATAAAGAATGTCCTGGCCCACTTTGCTTCACCAATGCTCAGTGCATCTCTAACACATAATCTATTTGCTGTCAGGGCGAGTTCAACATTGTTTGAATTGGAAAAGATTATATTTTTTAACTTTTAAATACAGATAACATGAAATTAATAGCATGGCAACCCCTAAGGAAACAGCAATGGAGAGGAGATTTGCAAATCAGAAAAGCAACTCATGAATACAAATTGCCTGGAAAGCATTTATTATCACAGGAGCTCTGCAAGATATACTGGAAATTGACAGTGGCATCAAATTCTCAGCAAGGAAGGTTAGTAGAGTAGGGCACATTATTACTCAGTGATACTAGAACATGCTATTGTTTTACATTATTGGACACTAAAAAAAATAGCGAATGACAAAAATTAGGTTAATACCAGCATTTATAGTGAAGATAATGCCTACATTTGCCTAAAATGAAAGAGAGTGCAACTCAAATGGAGTGGTACTAAAAAATGGAAAGTTATAAGAAGAGATCGGTATTAGCAAGCCTATAACTCACAAATGATCTTCAGTTCACGGCAATGCAATTGGTTTACATTGCAAGACTGCTTAAAATGCAAAGGAACTTTTATACTGTAAAGGAAAAAAAAATTTTTAACTCTTAGGCATCTTCTAAACAATCTTTTCAATTAAATGGAAAAAAGAAAAGAAAAAATTACGTGTGCTTTGATTTCTTAGTATCTAAGAAATAAAATGAGGTTGAAATTCAAATAATATCAAGAAAGGAAAACTTACAGTTGGAGGATCCACCAACATTGAAATAAGATTCAGGTTTTCGGTGAAAGGAATTTTCCGTGCTTTCAACTCTATTTCCCATTGATCTTTAAGCAGATAGTTCCTAAATATCTGATTGAAAGGACCAAGGTAGGAAAGGAATCCTGTGCACAGCAGAATGTCACCTACAAGTCTGTTAAGAAAAAAACACACAAGCCCCTCCCCAAAGTAAGTCATCTAACACATTTTAAGCTCTTCCATTAAGTTGTTTGAAATGTCATGTGTGCTGTATTATTCTGTTACTAAGTGAAATCCATCCTTGCCCCTGCTTGATACTTGGTAGCCAGGCATGGAAAAAATAAGCCCCCAAACCTAAAAGGGCGTGGGAGTGGCCACATTTGGGGTGGGTCAGAGAGCAAGAACAAAGGCTCACTCCTGAAGCCTACAGCCCAGAATCTTGGCACCTCATGGAAAGTACTTTCGTCCCATCCCACTCTATGGTCCCATTCATGTTTCAGTCTTATGTTACTTTTTAAAATTTTTTTAATTTTTAATTTTTTTGAGTTGGAGTCTCACTCTGTCACCCATACTGGAGCGGGAGCGGCCACTGCACCCTCGACCTGCTGGGCTCTGGCGATCCTTCTGCCTTAGCCTTCCAAGTAACTGAAACTACAGGCGTGCGCTACCATGCCCAGCTAATTTTTGATTTATTGTAGAGATGAGGTTTTGCCAAGTTGCCCAGACGGGTCTTGAACCCGCGGGCTCAGACAATCCACTCACCTCAGCCTCCCAAAGAGTGGGATTACAGGCTGAGCCACCAAGCCTGGCTCTTTTTAAAATTTTTTAATTTTTTGTCATTTTTCTACTCTTCTCTCATTCCCTTCTGTGAATTTTCTGAGGCCACCAATAGACACCAGCAAAAGATACCCTTGTATTTAAAACAAACCATTGATTCACACTCTCAAAGTCATAGAGGTGAAGAGTAGAGAATTGGAATGAGTATATAGATTGTTTTGGCAAATCCAAACAATATCAGAAGCGCACTCATGCTGAAAACCCACATTGCTAAACCACAACTGGGATTTACAACGCCTCACAAAATTTTCTTTACTCTCTGCAGTATTTTACAGACAGATTATGATTTTAAATTGTAAGCAAAGCACTTTCTTAATAATGAGATTCAGAGATGAACATATGGAAATGAAAGAAATGGATTGTATGCCCTTTAATGCCTCAAAGAAGGAGCATGATTATAACAAAGACCATAGTTCACACCTGTTAATCTGAGCTTTGAACTCTTTACTTTGTTGGGTCCATCGAACTTTTTCTCCACTGAGTCCATCGATGAGAGTAGAAGCTGCTTGCATCTTTTTCCGGCATGTATCGGCATCATTAAGCAAATCCTGCATTCAAATGGGAGAATGTCTCAAAAAACTCTATTTAAAGTGCTTAATCAAACATCCACTATATGCACATATGGAAAAATACATGGAGGAATTTCTTAATTTACAAAATAAATATTATCTAAAAATTAGTGTGATGTAATTTTACATATGAACTTCTGATCATTCAGTCATGATATAGTGGTTTTACCTTACAAAATTTCAGGAAAAGCAATTTTGTAACAGAGTATCCAAATCACATATGTTAAAATAGTATTTCTACTAATACTTTCAAAACAGAATCAAATCAATAAAAAATATCATTTTTAAGTCTTGGATTTAATAATAATCCTGAGCTTGCTGATGTTGACAAAGTACTGTCTCCCAGAAAAATTCTAGACAACAGTAGTGTTACTGCAGCCACCTTGTACCAGCTCATGAGAGCCAAGTGGTAAATTTTCAGAATATTTACAAGCTGGTATAAAATACAGTGTTTATTAAAAGTAAACTATATAAGCTTACAATTACACAAATTTCAATAAAAGCAAAGGTAAAAAATAATAAAAACTAATTACTTCCTAATTATTCACATTTTAGTATCTGTGCTTTTGAGGTTAAGCCCATTGTATTTGCATGGTGGTAGTAGCATATAATAGTGTGGTACTGTGCATCTTTTTCCAAATCTGTGCTCAGTGATGTTATGTTGGTAGTTTAAAATTGGCAGTGGTGGGAGTATTTATACCACAGATATCAGCAAAATTACAAATCAGGGCTCTCCTCCCCGACTCCCAGTAGACCGTGGAACATTTACCAGACCACAGCTGCTTACAAACTATTCCAGGAGGTCAAATTAGGATCTCCAACTACAGACAGGCTAGGTCAATTTCCCCAAACTATACAATTCACAAGTGCCTGAGCTGGATCTCCAACCCAGTTTTCTAATTCCAAAATCAGTACTCTTGATATGACATCTCAGCTCACTTTTTTTTTAAATTGGAGTCTCACTCTGTCGTGTAGTGGCACACTCACGGCCACCCTAGTGTCAACCTGCTGGGCCCCAGTGATCCTTCCACCTCAGCTTTCCAAGTAGCCAGAACTACAGGTGCGCGCGACCACGCCCGGCTAAGTTTTGATTTTATTGTAAACACAAGGTCTCTCCAAGTGGCCCGGGCTGGTCTCAAACCCGCAGGCTCAGGCAATCCACTCGCCTCGGCCTCTAAACGTGCTGGGATTATAGGTTGAGCCACCGAGCCTGGCCACAGCTCACTCTTATAGATGCTTGATTAGTAAAAACACAAAAAGTACTTTAGATTGCCAGAGATTCAAAACAGGTAGGCAGAGCCAGTGAATAAGGGCATTCTGGTCAATACCATTTCCTAACAATCATTTGTTTTATTTCTAAAGAAAACACATCCCTGTGTAAAGTTTCAGTACATTATTTTGGGAATTCTGTAAATTTAATCTCACCATTTTCTCCTTCATTGCTCCATCAAATTTTGCTTGCACTTTATCCAGCTCAGCTTGCTTCTCATCCAGCAGTGCCTGTGCCTTTCCCAGTTCAGCATTTGCCACTGCTAACCTGCCCGCCTGCTTGGCCAGGTTGGCCTGAAAAGGAAGAAGAGGTGCTTTGTGAGGTATACTAGTTCTATGCGACAGTCGTGATTTTTATTGGTAAATAACACAAATTACATAATTTTTACACTAAATGATACTTTGTCTGTTTTAGTGTTTGCAGCTGGAGAAGCAGAGAGTCAGGGGATATTGTATTGCTTTTTCTTTTAATTATTAATGTTCAACATGGAGAATGCAGCAATGCATGCATAGGTAGGAGAATAAAAGTTAACCCTGATTTGCTTAGAGATAATCTGTGAGTCTCGTGTTAAGAAGCTGATAACTGGACTTTTGCTTTTTTTTCACTTCATGTGGTACCTGTATAACCATTTTCCCATGTCCTTAAACACTTTTTCATGAACATTTGCTGTGTGGCTGCATGATATTCCAAAATTTGAATGTATCACAATTTGCTTAGCCTTTTTTCTACTTTTTATACATCTCTCTTCTTCCATTTTTAACTATTATAAATATTGCTGTAATAAATATTATTGATTATTTAAACATTTTGGATTGTTACTTTGTTAAAGATTACTTAAAGTGAAATTACTGTAACGGTAGTTTTAAAAATATTTTTCTAAGTCATACAACAGGGTAATAATCTGTTTCTTATAAATTTAAATAATTAACCAGTAAAGTAATCTAGGCCCAGAGCCTTCTTAGGTAGAAGTTCTTTGTTAACCTTTCTCATTTTCTTTCTCAATGCTTATTTGAATTTAGCCCTTTTCCCCAGAAAACTAGATTTTCAAATGTATTCACATATAACTGTGTAAAATTTGCTTTATAAATATTCAAGTCTACATATTTAGAATTATGTGGATTGATCTTTATATTCTCATTTGTTTTTCTGTGTTTTCTTTTTTATTAGATTTTCCAGGAATGCATCTCTTAGTTTATTTTTTTGCAAAGCATCAGTTCTTAGATTTACTCATGAATTCTGCTTTTCTCTTCTCTAATTTTTAATGTAATTTTTATTAGCTCTATTCTTCTTTCTGTAAATTTTATGTGTATGTATGTTTATGAGTGAGCATGTACTTCAACTCTTTTTTTTTTTTTTTTTTTTGCGTTGGAGTCTCACTCTTTTGCCCAGACTGGAGTGCAGTGGCATGCTCAGGGCCACCGCAGCCTCGACCTGCTAGGCTCAGGCAATCCTTCTGCCTCAGCCTTCCAAGTAGCTGGAACTATAGGCGTATGCTACCATGCCCAACTAATTTTTTTTAAAAATTATTTATTGTAGAGACGAGGTCTCACCAAGTTGCCCAGGCTGGTCTTGAACCCCTGGGCTCAGGCAATCCTCTCGCCTCGGTCTCCCAAAGTGCTGGGACTACAGGCTTGAGCCACTGCAACCGGCTGTACTTTGACTCTTAAGTGGAATTATCAGTTTCTTTGATGCATTTAAAGGTTAGAAATGTACCATATTGGCCACATCACAAAAGCTTTAGTAACTAACTTATTTTCATCATTTCCTAAATAGAAGTGACTGACTTTTTAAAAATGTAAACTTTCTAAATTTAGTTGTCTATAATCAGAGAAGGAAGCCCAAGAAATTTTTGTTTTCGGGAATTTAATCAAGGTCTTCTTTTAGCATGGACTATAATCAATTTTTGTAAATGTTTCTTGGACTCTAGAAATAATTTCCTAGTCTTTGTTAATGCAGAAGGAAGTTCAATGTAGCTATTCAACCTGAAAACTAATATTGTGTAAAATTTCCAAATAATTATTAATTTATGCCTGGTTCCATAACTTGCAAGGCCCAGGGCAAAATAAAAATGTGGGTTCCCTTGTTAAAAAATTGTTAGGAATTTCAAGAGGGCAAGCAGAGTACTAAACCAAGTGGACCCTTCTAAATACGGGCCCTGTGTGCATACCAGGGAAGCTAGCCCTCGTCTACCAGATATGTCCTGGGTTGATAGTGTGTGCCACAATCTCAAATTACAATGTTGTTTTTCTTAATTTCCACTTAAAATGCCAATGGATTTTGTTTTCAATAATTTGACACGGTTTTATTATTGCATAATATATTATTGTCTTCACTGTGGATAACTTTATCAATAAAAAATCACTCTCGCGGGGCTCGGTGGCTCAGCCTGTAATCCCGTGCCTTTGGGAGGCTGAAGTGAGTGGATTGCCTGAGCCCGCGGGTTCAAGACCCGCCTGGACAATTGGTGAGACCTCATCTCTACAATAAATCAAAATTAGCCAGGCGTGGTAGCACGCGCCTATAGTTCCAGCTACTTGGAAGGCTGAGACGGAAGGATCGCAGGAGCCCAGCAGGTCGAGGCTGCGGTGGCTGGGAGCAGCCACTGCACTCCAGTCTGGGCGACAGAGTGAGACGCCAAAAAAAAAAAAAAAAAAAAAAAAATCATTCTCATGTTTTGCTTTTTCTTAAATTCTACAATTAAAGTAACACTTCTCTTTTGGTGTCTTTTTGTTTGGGTGTATTTGCTATATTTTCCTACCACTTCCCTTTGTTCAAACTGTTTAATTTGAAAAGTATTTTCTGTTTTTCTCAAAGTTACCCATGCACAGAATTTAGAGACGCAGCCACCTCTATAAGGCTTATTATGAAAAACAGTAGCCCCCTGCCCAGTTACTCAACACTTACCCCATTCCACAGAGCAACCACTCACAACACTTTCAGTTTTGTGGGGGGTGGGGGATTGGGTTGGGGCCCTGGGAATAATGTGTATCTGGGTGATATATTTTATGAATTCGTGCACGCCTAAGAATGTCTTTCTCTTCCTTTAAAGATGAAGAGCAGTTTTGTTCATTATTGAATTATAGGACCACAGCAACTTCTTCCTTAAAACTCTGCATATGTTTTTTCATTCTCTTCTGGTATTTAGGGTTATGGGAAGTCTGCGACATCCTGATTTCTCTTCTTTTATAAACAATCTTTTAATTTTGCTTGCCTGTTTGTTTCTTAGATTGCAAATAAGGTTCTCTTTCTGTCTTGGAAATTTAAAACATTTCTAGGTGTTGATCCTAGCTTTTATGTTTTGTCTGTTCAAAACTTACGACTCCAGGTTAAAAAAAAAGTTTTGTCTGGAATATAGTAATTACTCTGTCTCCAAACCTAATCCCCAAACTTTAAAGAAAAGGCAAGTTTGCTTTCATGACAGCTATATTATTATCCCAATAAATTCATTTCCTGAGTAAGTTAACAAGTTGCTCTCAGTTATTTGTCTGCATTGCCAAGAAGCATGTAACAGATATGAAAAGAATGAGAAACTTTGAGAGGACATAGAGAAAAAAAAGAAAAATTTGGTACCAGGGACATCTCCCTTTGTTAGTCTAAATTATGTTTTGACTTTTAATAGCAGTAATATTGATGACTGATTATATTAAACATTGATACACAGCGAGGAGGGAAAATTTACCTTCAGAGGCAACACTTCCTTATTGATGCCATAAAATATTGCCATAGCAAGTGTCCAAGACAGCAGACCAGCCACATTCCCACAGACTTTTTTAGCGCTTTCAAAAGTGTAATCTTCCATATTAAAATATGGCTGTAGTAACTCAACAGTCTCTTCATTTATAGTGTCCTTGGGGAACTGCTGAAGGTTCCACAGGAATCCCGTTGCACTCATCAACTGAAAAATAGTATTATAACCTCTAAGTTCTGGGAGAGAAGAAATACTTTCTTCCCAAGTTAATATGTACTCCAAATTGAATTTCTTCAAAGAAGTAACAATTAATTTGCTCCAAATATACAACTCGAAACTATTGACAGTAGTCAACCTAAACTATAAATTGCAATTGTGTTCCAGTTTCCATGTTGAAAGAATGAAAAAAAAAACAAAAAACAATGTCAGCTTCCTGTCCAGTAAATATGTCTGAATTCAGCCACCAAACATGCAGGCCCTTTTTAAAGATTGGACTGGGTTGACACCAAGGCTGCACCAATACTAGCCACTGGCTCTGGACAGATTTCATAAAAAGAAGGCATTCAGCTTTAAAATCTATCCCTACTTACACTCTGGTTGGTATAGTTTAAGACAAACTTTTCAATACATAATGATCAATTGCCGTCTGCCAGCTTATAGGGTCTATATTGAGTATACTGAGCTGTGAACACCAGATGCTGCTCACAGGATTTACACAGATGGATTTTACTTACCTTTAACGACTCTCCCCATGATGGCTTGCAGCAAGGTTTTTCTGGATCCATAGTAACAGGGTCGATCTTCTTTTGAAAGAGTAACAGAACACAGTCCATGATTCTCATAATAAGATGTGGTGGTTTTGCAAGTTTCCTGACTGTGGCAATATCGTTTGGTTTGATAGTCTGTATTTGGGATTAGGAATCAATATATTTTTTGTTGACTAGTATTAAGATTTATATTAAAAAACTAATACTTTAAAATAATTTTGACAGAAAACTTAGACCATATTTTCTCCCCACCTCCTGATATTACCTCCTCAGAGTTTGAATTCCAAGAGTTTTGCACAGGGCTCTTTCTTTGTTATTTTGGTATTTGTTTGTTTGCTTTTATTCTTTACTCTGTTGCCCCCAACTAATTGGTTTAAAATATCTCTACTAGTTATCGGCCACCACCTCAACCAGCATTAATAAGGCCCATATGTAACATTTAGATAACTCGCATCTTAAATGCACAGAATATATATTATGTGTGGATAGTAAGAGAAGAGACAAAACCCTGAAAAGCCGAAACCTCACCTTCAGTCTTCATTTTGAGGGCTTCCCTGACTATGGAAGGGGGAGGAATTAGAAGGAGAGGAGAGAAGTTATTGTAAAATATATCTCATAAATATGTTAATAAATATATTTTTTTAAAGTTTCTATTCGTGAGCTGCATTTGAATTAAGACATTGTCTGACAGTCAAGGCAAGAAGGACTGGGAGACCATATGATCAATAAAATGTCTTAAGATTCCTTTGGCTCAGTGATCTCTTCCTTTTATATGTTACAGTAAGACCCATAAAAGGAGCGGGGATAGGGAATGTGTCCTGGTCACTATAAAATTTTTATCAAATGATTATAATAAATGTATTAACTCATTTAACAACTGCAAACATTCTCTCATACAAAACAAAACAAACAAAAATAGTCTCATCCTCGTGAGCTCCTGAAGATGGCAAAGAAAACACAATTATCCTACATAAGGACTTCTGCCATGATAGAAGCAAATGAGTGATAGAAAAACAAAGGAGGGGCCAGAAGAAGAACTGAAAACTTTCTGGAAGGAGTGAGATCTGAGCCCAGATTTGAAAAATGACTTATCAGACAATGAAGGTTAAGAAAAGCATTCCTGGCAGAGGCAGAGGCACGTTTAAAGACCACGATTCTTCCAGAATCCTATAGGTGTTTCTGTATGGCTGGATCATATTGTGTATAGAGACAGAATGACAAGAGATAAAGTTGAAGAGGTAGACAGCAACCATGTTATCAACTGCAGCAGAAACACTAATGTTTGTTGAGCACTTTCTGTGTGCCCAGCAAATTGTATTGATAATTTTTAATGCTTATATTGATCCTTCAAAGATCAATGAGAAATTTTAATCCCCATGAAGACCCAAGAAAGTTAAGTAAACTCACCCCGGATCACATATAGGCATAAGAAGTGATGGTCATGAAAAGCAAACGCAGATCTGCCTGCCTCCAAACCTATGCCCCACTACCTCACAGCCATAGATGCCTGGCTTGGGACTTCATCCTAAGAGCAGTGGGAACCACAAGAGAATTTTAAAAGGAGGCATGACAACCGGGCTCGGTGGCTCAGCCTGTAATCTCGCGCCTTTGGGAGGCTGAGGTGAGTGGATTGCCTGAGCCCGCGGGTTCA